TCCATCTGACATTTGTTGAGATATTTCAGCCTGGATCAAAGCGGTGGACGAACTGACACACCGACCTATTGAGATCACTTAGTCACATTAGTCTAGCTCTAAACTTGGCATGCCTCTCTTCAAACAATCCTCTGTACAGCAAAAACGGAAACAGCTCTGTCAGAAAGGCCTCGCTCTTTGAACCTCAACATCTTAACATAAACATCATCTGTGCCGTTATCTCTCTACATCTACTGAGAGCTGTACAGATTACAGCAGATCAGCCACCTGTGCAGGTCTTAAAAGAAACCACAGATCCCATTCAGCTGGGTTTAGCCCACATAATTCATTGAAGACATCATTTATCCTGTGTATTTGAGAAAAGAATCTACTGTACAAAGCTATCAGAGCTTCACAGTCAAACAACTTGACAGCTCTAATGCATGAGATAGCATTTGTGGGGTGTAGGGGAGCAATGAAGCACTCTGAGAGGCAAATAAAATCCCTTTTTTAAACTCAGGAAGATGCCTGTGGAAAACCTTCCAAATCCAGATCACAACCTATTTCAGACATAAGCAACCTTCATCATTAAAGAAGTATTTCACTGCTGGAAAGATGGTCTTTTTATAAATCTGGGCTGTCTATGCATCAGAAAAAGGCAAACACTTTTGAAATTGGTGCTACATGACCAGACAAAACAGGAAAAGGGCTGTGGAATTTGCTTTTGCTCATGAGGGAGAAAACCTACAACTATCAGAATGCACTGCATCGCACCGGATCAATAAACGCTCCTGCTTGTCCGTTTTGACACAGGAAACATTAAGACTAAGGATAGACCGATACATCGGCCAGCCGATATATCGGGCTGATATTTGAGTTTTTTACTTGTATCGGCATCGGCCGATATGCGCGTGGGTTCGCGGATTTATTTTCCCCTGGCATGATTTACAGACAGGCATCCACGGGCAGCTCTGTGTTGCCGGAAGACCCTGCAGCGCACATGCAGCTGTGTACAGTAATTGTTGTTTTATTTATGCTTCAGCTTAAATATTTGTTTATTTTATAAAGACATTACTGGAAGATTTAAGAGCACTGAACTCTTTTTTTTATTTGAATGTATGATAATAATAATAATAATAATAATATTCTACCTGTTCTACCTCAACTTTCCATCTTGTTTTAGTATTTTTTACTGTTCAATAAATGTTTCTTATTTTAAACTTGAGACCTGTAATATTTGTTATCATTGTGTCATTTTTTTGATGTAAATTGAGGGAGCAAAAGCAGTATCGGCCCCAAATATCGGCTCAAGAAAATCAGCAGTCCATAATCGGTCATCGGCTAAGGGTGATGGAAAAAAATTGGTATCGGCATTGGCCCTAAAAAATCCATATCGGTCTATCCCTAATTATGACAGTCAGCTAGTAATAAACAATCTCCAATTACAGTTAAAGAGTAAGCTAAAATATGTTTCTGAAAACATTTGAGGCAAGAAATGGGCAAAGCAGTAACAGAAACTTAGTTCACATTCGATCAACACTGTTTACTTTTACAGTTTAATCCCAATTTTTTCAGCTTTCATTTTTACAATACAGGAAACAATATGGCGCCCATTTCCTGTTCACTAATTCTCATATTACAGCTAAACAGTGCACTAAAATATGTTTCTGACTTTACAGCCTGACAAAATATGCTTTAAGGTTGCGGTACCAGAATACAATGGGCATTAGGGCTGTCAAAATTGCTCAAAAATGACGTTCGAATATTCCTTCTAAAAATAACTCATAGGTTCGAACCATTCAAATTTTTTTTTTTGCATTATGTCCACAAGAGGGCAAACTAATACAAGAAAAAATACTTGTATATGTATTAATACAAGGAAACATAACTACTTGTAGGTATTTTTATTTCAACATAAACGTCTTTGAAAACATTTACATACCTACACATTAAAACAATTATCTATTACATTACGTTATAAACGATCACGGACCTCTCGCTCGCACCCCCTCTCTGTCCCAGGTCACACCGCCTGTGGAAGCGCTGCAAATAGCCTCGAAGCGCCGAGAACTGAAGCCAGTTTCCTGGCGCCGCGCAGCTCCGTGGCCGGCTGCAGCGATCATTTCGGCGTCTGGTCTATTTTCTGCGCGAGCCACGAGCGAATGTGTCAAGCCGGGTGATGGAGACAACAGCTGGGAGCAGAATCGCTTGTCGACCAGCGTGGAGCGTCTGATGTGAACGGAAGTGCTCCGGCTCGCGCAAGAATTTCGGTGCGCTGCTCTTCGCAGCACTTCCGTGGGTGGTGTGGCTCCAGTGTGTTCAGTGCAGCGGCCCAGGCCGACGCCCACTCGCAAAGAGAACAGCTGCGTTGGTGGGGTTTTTTTCTCCACAATCGAACATCAATTTTCACATTCGAAGGTCCTTTTTTTTTTTCAAATTCGAATTTAAATTCAAATTTAGAACATCTGTTGACAGCCCTAATGGGCATGATGGGTCCTCATTTACCCACAGTTTTAGGTTCTGGGGGGTTGGTAACACATCGTATGTAGCCCCTACCAGGAATCTAATACGATTCTCCTCCATACTCCACAGCTCCCTCTAACCCTAACCCTAACCCAACTAAGCTTCCTCTTCTCTACACTTTCCCAATTCAACCACTGTCCCTGCTTACCCTGGGCCACTACCTTTGCACCCCTTAATATCTCCTCCTGTCTACGTGTCTGTTCCACAACCAGCTTTCTTTTATCTTTGAGACCTGTTTTATTCCATACCGGTTTGCCTGAGCCAAGTCCCAGGCCTCCCCGGCCAAACTCAACATTACCTACAATCTCTGCATGTCTAAGAGCTGCCTCTGCCTCCTAAACTGCCGATCTTGGGTTCCACTTCCTCCCCTTGGTTGGATTTGGAACCACACTCCTAACTACCACGTCCTTACTCCCAGATAACAAGAGCTCTGTCCTGATCTTGGTACATTTAAATTCCTCTGTTAAACTAGATACTGGCAACTGAAGTATCACTTTTCCATACAATGCAACACTACTTAGGCACCTAGGAGCGCCCAACCACTTCCTAATGTAGGAGCTAACCGACCTTTCAATTCTCTCCACAACAGATATTGGAATTTCATAAATTGACAGTGGCCACATTAACCTAGGATATAGCCCAAATTGCAAACACCACAACTTCAACTTTCCTGGAAGTTCGGATTTATCTATTCTATCCAATCCTTCTGCCACATCTTTTCTAAATTTCACCACCTGTTCCTCATCATTCAACTCGACATTGTACCACCTACCTAAGCGCTTTACTGACTTTTCCCTAATTGTTGGGATGTCCTCATCATCTATGACAAACTTCCTATCACTTATAATACAAAGCCAGTTCCCAGTTTGTGGGTTGTGGTCCAAAAGTGGGTCGCGGGTCCATTCTGAATGGATGGCAAGTGACTTAAGAACGTGTCAAGTCTGTACACTTTATTTTGAAGTACAATAAATTTCTGGCACTTTTATTTCAAAGTCTCTGCTGTGGAGTGAGTAACTAACGGAGAGCTACTTGACAGAGACAGCAAACTAGCTCGACAACATGGCCAAACGCAAGTATGACGTTGAACATATTAAACTGTGTGGACCTTGAACTAAAGATTACGGAGAAATCTGGACCCCATGGCTGGACCAGTTGGGAACCACTGCCCTAAGTGATACTGTATTCATATTCTGCATGTCTCTCTCTCAATATAGGCTTTTTTCTCCATTTATAGAGGACTGCTTGAATGCTGAGTTTGCTGATTTGATACACCAGACATTGCAAAGCTGCCAACTGATAAAGTTCTCACTAGTAAATCACAAATCTAACCCCCACATGCCAGACTTTTTCTCACAGAGTCAGTTTTTCTGCTTCACAGAAGATTTGAGTGCTAAAACAACCGTGTGGCATGCAATGGTGGCAGGTGAGCAGTGTTTACAGTCCTGGCGATTGCATCAGATGCCATGAAAAGAAAAATGTGTGTGACAGGTGTGTGTGTGTGTGTGTGTGTGTTTGGGGTGGTGGTGTTGTAGTGAGGGAGGGCAGGGTGTTGTGCGCTTGGTAGTCACCATCGGAGATCTAGCCACGCTCTTTTTAGCACACTATAATACAATAATGCTACTTTCCCGGCTCCCAAATAAACTGAGCATTACCACGTATTAGAGGCAGACATCCCTACAAGCCCTGCATGTGTCCATCCTCTTGTAAGTGTGGACTATATTTAGCCGTATAGGATCTTTGCTCAGCTCAGTTGGCCTAAAATAGAGAGAGAAAAGCCAACACCCATTGTCTGACACAGTGCCCACTGGGAGCCAAAGATGCAACACGTGTGGCGAGGAGCTCTTTTGTTGCTCTCTTTTTTAAGTCTATTCCAGAATGGGTCAAAACCCTCCTTACATAAGAGATCCAGGCCTCCACCTGCACTCTTCGAATCTGATTTTACATCCTTCTGATCCCTAATCCAGAGAAAGAATTCCTCTCTTTCCTCACAGTGGATAATTGAGCGTGAGGTGCAATTTTACGGGCCGCGAGCCAAACTCCTGCCAGAGACACGGGTCATGATGGAGGCGTTTTCGTCGGCTAAGGGGGCGTGAATCTGATTCCTGGCAAGCATCCAACTACAGGACATTATTCACATGATCACTGCTGGTTGAGGTGATGCAGCTCAAAGTGAAAACATGATCATGTTTGGAATATTTGTGAATGAAACACCATGAGTCGAACAGCATTTCTTCCCAGCATATCCAAAGCAAATAAGCAGCAGCAAAACACAGCACTGAAGAAGAATATGGTGTGAAAAATATTGCCCTGCCACCTCCCACAAATGACATCTCACACAGCAGCAGAGCAGAAGCCAAGGCAGAAAACTTTCCTTCTTCTCCCTCTGTTAACACCCAGGTGCTACATTTTACCGTCACCACACAGCAATCATCTGTCACACTGCATGCAGGAGCAGGTAAACAGCTGTTCATAGCAGAGTTCAGGTATGATAATCTCACCTGTCCAAGGTCCAGGGTAACATCCACCTCGTTGTAGCCCAGTCCCCTGGAGAGAGGAGGGCTCTGCCACCACCGCTCTGTCCCGTCGATGGCGTTGGTCACCGGGTGGGCTTTGTTTGGGTCAATGGAGTTGCAGTAGTCACAAAACTGACCCTAAATGACAGAGTTGAGACCGAGTCATTGTTTTACAAGTCACAAGTAAGTCTCAAGTCATTGCACTCAAGTCCTAAGTCATGACTGACAAGTCCCAAATCCTACACATTGAGTGTCGAGTCCTAAACAAGTCATAATGCCCTCCTTACCAAATGTAATGCCATTTTAACATCAGAATAATATATTAGATTTACAAAAATCCTGAATGTTTTATAAAATTTGTACTTATGTGTTTACACAAGTTTGGGGAACTTATTGCCTCTCCGTTTATTATGTTTCACCTTCACCTTTTTTGTTGACCACCCTTAATTTTTGTACGCAAACAAACTTGTCTTTGGTATAATCTTTTTCAATTGGCACTCATTAACTTAATGTTAGCTCTTCATTCTGTTTTGCAACTTGACCAGAGGCTGTCAGACAGGCTCAAGCCAAGTGGGTCTGGGAAATTAAGCGCAGACTTTCTGGGAATCAACAGCATTAAAGTTAGTTGATTCAGGAAATGAAGAGAAATGATAGGACACGAACTGATTCATGGCACGCTTTTCAAATAACTTATTTTTCGATCTTTGGGCTTGGAGGAAAGTATCAAGTGTTTTTTTAAGCCACAAGGCTTGAATCCAAGTAAAATCACAAGTCGTCGAGTTGCAAGTCTTTTTGATTTTGTCACGTTCAGTCTAAAATCATCATCATCATCTGGTCATCATCAATCATCTGACAAGTCCCAAATCCTATAATTTGAGTGTCGAGTCCTAAACAAGTCATAATGCGCTCTTCACCATATGAAGTGCCATTCTGACAACATAGGAATAATACATAATATCGTTTGTACCATTTTTTCCAATTGGCACTCAGTAACATAACTTAAGTTCTTCATGGTTCTCTCCTGCAACTTGATTGGATGCTGTCAGATTGGTTCAAAGTGGATCATCTGAGGACTTAAGTGTCGACATATTGGGAATGAATAGTGTTAGTTAATTCAGGATATGAAGGGAAATTAATCAATTCATGGCACACTTTTTAAATAACATATTTCTTAACCTTTGTGCTTGGGGGGGGTTTAAGTATTTTCAAATCAAAAGTCCAAATTAATTCAAAAAGTAACTGATGTTAAAGTCCAAGTTGAGTTTCAAGTCTTTCCTATCTTGTCAAGTGGGGTGTAGAGTTATCAAATTTTTGACTTGAGTCGAGTCCAAGTCATGTGACTTCAGTCCGGCTCACTGCCAAATGGAGTCAAAATATGAGTATTCAGAAACATGCAGAAAACCACATGCAGGTTTTACACTAGAGGCAGGCACTAGCAAATACCTGACCTAATGCAAAGATGAAAAATAGTGTAATAAACACAAACAAAAGATTTTGCACGTCCATGCCAAACTGCTGTTCTCACAGTAATGTACAGTAGTGCCCTTCCCAAGAACTCCTAAGAGAGCAGGACCACTTTGGAAAGGGCATTTCCTCTTAGAAAAACTCAACCGCAGTGGTGTAAAACTTTTTCTAGTAGCTGTACAACTGTGTCAAGGCAGAGCTGACATTTGTACGGGACCATATTCATAAAAACAGCTATATACTTTCTGTTAATAGTTATTTATTGAGTATAACTTACTGCTCACCATACGTATCCGGCTATTATATATCACTTCCTATCACAGCGCCTGCATATTGTTCTTTACCTTTTACGCACGAACCGAAATCTTTCTCCTACCTGTATATTTTGAGTAGGAAGTCCGGTGGTCGGTCCTCCAACAAGTTTACAATATAATTCATATCTCGGTGTCCCAGCTTCATCCTGGCCGCAGGTTGCTGTGGCAGAGATAGTAGCCCCTTCAGCGAGGTTGAAATACGGAGGACTCAAACTAAAACCTGTAAAGTCATTAAAAGTTCCTTGTCCATCTGCGTCCCTGAAAAGTGTTAATAAAAAAGTAAAAACTACAGCGAGGAGATGAGCTCCTCTCATCCCTCTCGCCATGTTCCACATTAGAGATCCCTGTAGATGCCGAGAGCAACCCGCAGCGTGCAGGTCTTGTCATCTATAGATCTCCATGAAATGCGCTCAAGGGGCTGCGCGGGTTACGCGCGAGGCTGTTTCGGTTGGATTACACGTCCGCTAATGTCAGCAGCAAATCTTTAAGTTGGTCTCCTACTGTTGAAGGTGTGCTCTCCTTCCGCCGCATGTCGCTGAACTAACAACGCCATGCTCTCCGTCTTCCTGACCAACTGTGTGCCACACTAGAGCGATCAGGTGTCGGGCTGTCGATGGTCTGAGCTCCGTGTAATCCACTGTGAGGGGCCAAAGGTCTCCCATCACACTTCACACTGTGTTTCCCAGCAGCACCTCTGCTGACGCTTTTCTTTTAACATGAGAAATCTCTCTTTCATACAAGTTTAAAATAAATACACAGGTCTATTTTACGCACATACTAGTTAATTAACTGTAGAAAACTATTTTTATATCCTGTCATTTTACAATCATCCTTCAAGAAATTGCTTTGATGATGTTGCTGCGTGTCATTAAAACAGACACTGCATTATTATAGTAACTCTGAGAAGTATTCTGCCATTAAGAAGGCAATTTTAACAGCTGTCACTTGTGCAAATACAAAAAATGGGTTTTATTATGAAATTAAAATATCTAACCATATGAAAAATATTAAAGTTGGTTCAGACAGCTTCTATATACATACGTCTGATCTATAATTTGTATCAATACATACAGTGCTGGAGAGTGAAGAACTAACTAGTACTAGTTAAACCACATTTGGCAGTAGCATGCTGGTATTCAACTACATTCATTCAAGGGGTTAAATTACTCTTTTGCCACTTTGTGTAGTGAACTACTGAAACTACAAACATTTTCAGCCATAAAAGTAAAGGGATTTTTTTTTATATTTATTTTACCAATGCTTCACCACTGTAATTGAACTCCCTCTGACCACAGCTGGTCATTAATGTTGATCACTGCCATATATTTACACATGTTCAGAGAAGTTGCTGCATGCTATTTCAAGAGTTACCTGGCTAACTGAGTCATCCTGCTTGGTGCAACACCTCCACCTAGACTCTAGTTTCTGCAGAGCAGGTGTCTGAGGGACATTGTATATAAAACCAAAGCTGACATTCCTGCACTTTCCTAAGAATAGTGGGATATTTGTTTATTTACTCAGCCTATTTATTGTTTGTGTGTGAGACTTGAACAAATGGGCACCTTTTGCAATGCGATTGGGAATGTGACTCTCATATTTTGTTACATATACACTGACGATTTCATCTTCTTCTACTACTAAGTAGCTGAACTTTTGATGAGTAACTTTAGTTAACCAAAGTAGATTTCTCCCTAAGGTAGCTTTGCTGTAGTTCAACTTTTTCCATAGGGAAGTAACTGGCAGTTTGCAAAGCCATATGCTTTCAAAGTAGCTTCCCCAACACTGAATACATATCTTCTTTATATAATTTTACATTTTTAGTTTAGTTTGATTATAAGGGGACAGTGTACAATGACATTAATCATGTACAAGGAATGAAAACGTGGTTGCACCAGATTTAGCTACACATAACAAGAAGACGCAATGAATAAGAATAAAATACAAGGTGCAATGCAGACTACAGTGAATCCATGTGCCTAACATAATAGAAGAAGTATGTACACACTGCACAATACAAAATACAATATGAAATGCACAATATTATAAAGTGACCAGGTTACCAGTGCAGGCACCTTACACAATAAAAACACTAAGTACACTCTGCACAGTAAGTTTTGATATTAAAGTATTACCTCTTATTGCAGGATCAGAGGAGCCCCAGACATGTGAGGGACCCCATCAGTGGGTTTGCAGGCTTTTTATATCGTAGATGCCTCTACAGTGATGTTGGAGCGACCTCTGGTGGAGAAAACAGTCATCACAAGAGGGTCATTAGTGGAGTGGAGTTTAGTGTCGCGCACACGCACATGCACGCCACTGAAGTCTCCGTTTTTGCATGTCACTTGACAGAAGAGCTACTATTGTGTTACAGCTAAAAGACTCTCCTCTGTCTGACTTTATGCATCTTGGTGTTTGTTATTTCTACTGTCCTTAAAGGATTCTTAGTTAAAGGTAATAATTTAATAACTCTGACACAGATGTTTCTATTTAGGTCATTAATACAATGGCTCAGCAACTTGTATTGTCTTTGTAACTTGCACGACAACAATTAGGCACCGTGACTCAGCGGCAGGAGGCTGTCCTCGTCCCAGCAGCATTGTTGCCATTCCTGTGACGGGGCAGGCTGTCTTTCCTTGAGCGCCTGTGTCACTGCCGAGGGAGTGATAAGCAAACAGGAACTTGTTGTGCTCTGACACACGGCTAGGTAAACGAAACAAGACTGGCGGAGATCACGGCTTGAGTCTCTTGTGTTTTTCATTCTCACAGGACTCTGCATGGAGCCGACTAATCTACAGGTGAGATGAATAACTTTCTTTAACACCGCAAGTTTCCTGTTTGTCGATGCAGTGGAGTGTGACAAGTGTATTCACTCAAATAGGAACAAGGACACCGTGTGTATTCCACTGAGTGCAATCTGATGGGTTTCATTTTGACAAATGCTGAGTTTGGATTCAGTCTAAATACGTCAAAAGGTGCTGAGTGTTTAATTAAAATAGTTTTTAGTGAACTATAACAGAAAAAGCAGTTATTAATTTGAATGCAGGACCTTTGTGTGTCAATATTTCTGCACTGCAAGAGCTGACTGAACTCCATCATGGACCTAAAATAATGAATCACATCAGGTCCACAGATTCAGCAGCACTCTGTGAAATGATTCATTCACAGTTTATTAAATGTTTTAAGCAGGGAATGTGACTAATTATAAGACTACATCTGTGATCTGGATGGGCTGATGAATATCTGAGATGCAAAGAAGCCCTTTTAAATAACTAATTTCCTCTTAGAGTTATGAGGCTCAGTCTGCTAACACAGATGCTAAGCGTACAGTTTATTCTTTATTAATAAAATTCTAAGTAAATAATATGCTTTGATACACAAATTTACCATATAACTCAGTTGTCAAACATATGGCTCGTGGACCAGAACCGGCCACCAAAGGGTTTAATCTGGCCCTCTGGATGACTTTGCACATTTAGTATTGCTGCACCTGTGAAGGCTGAGAGGTGCCAGGTTTCTGGAGCAAGTTAAACAGTGAGTAGTCTACTTCAAGTATGAAGGATGCTGCTTCAGAGGCGTTCCATCGAGCCTGGTCTCACTCTGTAGTCGTCGAAATCTGGCACTTGGGCAGTGACTTGCAGCATCAGAAACCAACGAAAAGCGTCCTTTAACGTCGGCATGATACAAGGCTGGTTGCGGTTATACTTTAATGGTGCCTGGCGGTGCAGGGGGAAACGCAGTGTGACAAGGATGGAAAATTAAGGCAGCGAATGTCTGACAAGAACGGGTGGTGGATGGGTCCAACAAACACTGACTCACACCCGAGAGAGCGGTGTTCGCATCCTGTAACATTCTAAAGCCAAACCCTGTTCTTTTGTCCTAAACATAACCACGTGCTTCTGTTGACCAAACCCAATCATGTGTGTTTGTCGTTGAAGGAAAAAAAAACATCAATTCGCAATGCTGTACCAACGTAGTGCATTTATTTTGAAAGAGACAGTATTTAAACGTTAAATTTCCTGTGAAAACGGAAGTGTATTTTGAAAGAAGACAATGCATGTAACAGGCAGACGTTGACACGGTGTCTCAGAACGTCAACAACCGACACACCCAGGGTACCTATTGACCAAACGTCAATATGTGATGAGGTCGGAGTGAGAATGTGTTGTTCAATCCCAACCAAAATACAGTTCTACTACTTATTGTGCTCATATTTAAAGATATTGAACATTGTGCAACATAGAACAGTAAAAAATCTGTATCAGACGTTATCTTAAAACAATATTGGTGAAACCCCTTTGATAAGGCACCGCCAAACCTTTTGATCTGTGAATGGTTTGCAATGGATAGCTTCCACTTTAGTTTGGAAAAATGCACATGTAATGAGAGTGAGTAGTAGAGCGACTGAATGTGGAATAACTAAGGGTGTTTTCACATACAGTCCTTTTAAAACAAACTGAAGTCAGTCCTCTGAAAGCGCACCAAAAAGTGGACCGACAGAAAAGGGACTCAGTTCTTTTTGTGTTCACACTATAGCCTATATATAATATATATTGACATAGTTTATTTTTTAACTTTGACGTGGCACTGCAGTGCGGTTATGAAGCCTCTCACTTTCAAATGAACTTTAAATTGGAGGAATCTTAGTGTTTCTGTGCTGTAGACTGTCATCATTTGATGTGTTTTACGCTCCACATCTGAAAACGTGCAGGATCTTCTGTGGACCAAACTACTCTTCATCCTACGTCCTTACAAGCTTTACAGGCCGAAGTGGTTTTGTCTGTTTTTTCAAGTGTCTCAGTGCAACAGCATGTGATCTAGAGGGATAAATACAATGGCAAAGAGCAAAGCGAACCTGGAGCACTTTGTGTTCACAGTGCACAGACTTGAAGCGAACTGTACTCAGACCACCTCGGTTCGCTTCAGAGGGGTCTGAGTTCTCTTGGAGTGATCACACCGCTCTGAGTCTGTTTAGAGGGCTGAAAAGGACCAAGTGTGAAAACACCCAAAGACATATTGTTAAAATTGCACATATTTTTCTTGTTTTGTAAATGGATGAACATATTCAAAATGTACTTGTACTTCATTATGCTTAAAATGTTGATGTGTTGTTATTTATAGATTAATATAAAGTGGTTTTACCGGTCAAGCCCACTGAGATCAGACTGAGTTGTATGTGGCCCATGAATGAGTTTGACACCCACAATATAACTGAATGGAGTTACACTGTAACTGTAAGACAGTCAAGATGTTTCAGTAGCAGTTTAGACACTAAAGCCATTTTGCTCACATCCCCTAAATGCTGTCTACCATTCAGCCCTTAGATTTATAACTGGAGACAGCTATGGCACACATCACTGTTTGCTTTATCAAAAAGTGGGCTGGCCCTCTCTTTCTATTGGAAGGGACCAGCATTTGTTTTTATTTATTTACAATGGTGTTCTTCAAAAATTGCCCTCATATTTGTCATCACTTATTGGCTGGAGAGCTGCAACACATAACACATGTTCGCAAGACTGGTTAGTACTGCAGGTTCCTAGAACTAATACTGACTTGGGAAAGATTGCTTTTAGATTCTTTGCACCACATACCTGGAATGAATTGCAGTGTATTTGATACTTGATACTCTGGTTCCAATGGGTCAGTTCAGAAATCTAGTCAAAAACCAGACTAATTTAATTGTTGCTGGTATTAACTTGTTTCAACTGATTCATGTTATATATGTGTATATGTATATACAGTACAGGCCAAAAGTTTGGACACACCTTCTCATTCAATGCGTTTTCTTTATTTTCATGACTATTTACATTGTAGATTCTCACTGAAGGCATCAAAACTATGAATGAACACATGTGGAGTTATGTACTTAACAAAAAAAGGTGAAATAACTGAAAACATGTTTTATATTCTAGTTTCTTCAAAATAGCCACCCTTTGCTCTGATTACTGCTTTGCACACTCTTGGCATTCTCTCGATGAGCTTCAAGAGGTAGTCACCTGAAATGGTTTCCACTTCACAGGTGTGCCTTATCAGGGATAATTAGTGGAATTTCTTGCTTTATCAATGGGGTTGGGACCATCAGTTGTGTTGTGCAGAAGTCAGGTTAATACACAGCCGACAGCCCTATTGGACAACTGTTAAAATTCATATTATGGCAAGAACCAATCAGCTAACTAAAGAAAAACGAGTGGCCATCATTACTTTAAGAAATGAAGGTCAGTCAGTCCGGAAAATTGCAAAAACTTTAAATGTGTCCCCAAGTGGAGTCGCAAAAACCATCAAGCGCTACAATGAAACTGGCACACATGAGGACCGACCCAGAAAAGGAAGACCAAGAGTCACCTCTGCTTCTGAGGATAAGTTCATCCGAGTCACCAGCCTCAGAAATCGCAAGTTAACAGCAGCTCAGCTTGGCCTGTACTGTATATCAAAGATTACTTACTAGAACTGACTATACGGTTAATCACTTATTACATAACTGATCGACAGTTTATGAAAAAGTCAAATTCAAATCTTTGGGACAGACCTTTTTCACGGTAGACATTTTGTCAGGTGTAATCAATACCACTACAGACAATTTCATTTAAATTTGGTAAACAAGTTCCAGGGCCCTGGTTTTGTGGCATGACTTGCTGGTACACTTTATCATGATTGATGTTTTTAATTACACTTGAGCTTTTCCTGCAATGACAAGTGAAAACACCTGTCATGAACATGGTCTATTATTACATAATAAATGACTGGATTACAAAATGTGGAATTAATTAATATTCTCTTGATCAACTACTCAATCAGTCAATTTATTATTTCAGCACTAGCTCCAGAGCATTAAATAAATCATTATGATTTGTTTATAATATGGCACTAACTGTCATTCATATAATAACAATAATGTACTATACTTATTTTGTTTTGCCTGAAAAAGATTTATGCAGCTTTTAAAATACTGAGATGAAGTGAATTCACTGACCTTTAGGTTCCGACCAATATAGACTCAGACTAGACTGTCATGTTGTCAGTAGAAACACAAGATATGACTGTATCTGACATCTTAATCAATTTCCTGCTCTTTCAGAAAGCCATCGCTGTGGCACAGAAGGCCTCGGAGGAAGACCAGGCTGGAAACTATGAGGAGGCCATCCGCTCCTACCAACATGCTGTCAAGTACTTTCTGCACATTTTAAAACGTGCGTGACTATGGCTGGAAACAAAGTACATCTAATGTCACATAATGAAACCAATCAGGTCATTCTTACAGTCTGTGCAAGAGTGTGCATCACTGTCAATGCCTGATGACCAAGTAGCATCTACAAGTAAAATTACTCAACTATTAAAGGGATAGTGCACCCAAAAATTAAGAATTCAGCCATTATCTACTCACCCATATGCCGACGGAGGCTCAGGTGAAGTTTTAGTGTCCTCACATCCCTTGCGGAGATCGGCGGGGGGAGCGGCTAGCACACCTAATGGCTGACGGCGCCCCAGACTAACGTCCAAGAACACAAAACTGAAACCACAAAATATCTCCAGCGTGCTCATCCGTAGTGATCCAAGTGTCCTGATGCCCCGACATGAAAAGTTGTTTCGAAAAGCATCATATGAACTCTGTTTTTAGCCTCACTGTAGCCTGTAGCTCTGACTGCTTCTCTGTGCTCCGCGCTCACGTGTGTGCGCTCAGGGTGATCGGTGATGCACGGTCTCTGAAGAGCAGCAGTCTCGTCAGTACTGATGTCCAGATTCTCAAGTGCAGGCATCGCCAATTCCCAGTCTGAGCAGCAAAGACTTTCCTTATCCATTGGCATTGCTTTGCATTTGAAACAACTACACCACCAGGTTTTCAGTGCTCGACTCCGGTATTCTGCGGCTGGCTGAGGCTCATGAGCTGCGGCGGCTGCTGCTTCGTCCAGGAGCCCGAGTTCCGTCCGTATACTCGGGCTCAACAAAGAAATGCTGTTCCTCCTCAATTTCAAAGTCTTCAGACATGTTGGGCTGTCCTTTGCTAAAAGACCGTAGTGCAATTTATCTTTTAGCTACTGTGGTTACTGTTGTCTCTCCCAGCGGTGCACGTGTCACGTGATGTAAACACGGGTAAGCAAAGCTCATGCTTTCGCTGGTCTCGCGCAAGCGTGCACACGTGAGCACAGAGCACAGAGAAGCAGTCAGAGCTACAGGCTACAGTGAGGCTAAAAACAAAGTTCAAATGATGTTTTTTGAAGCAACTTTTTATGTTGGGGATGCAGGACACTTGGATACCTACGGATGAGCATGTTGGAGATATTTTGTGGTTTCAATTTCATGTTCTTGGACGTTAGACTGGGACGCCGTCAGCCATTAGGTGTGCTAGCCACTCCCCCCGCCAATCTCCGCAAAGGATGTGAGGACTCTAAAACTTCACCTGAGCCTCCGTCGGCATATGGGTGAGTAGATAATGGCTGAATTTTCATTTTTGGGTGCACTATCCCTTTAATGTTTTGTTTGTATGTGCTTATTTTGAGTTGTGCCATCCTTATGAGTTGGTACAAAAATGAATAACATTACAGAATGGTATTAAATGAATGTTCTCCTTCCCATCAGGTGAACCTCAGGGTAAAGATGGCAACCAGAAGATCAGAGATAAATGTAAACAGTACCTGGACAGAGTGGAGGAACTACAGCAGTACCTAGACTATAAACAGGTTACTGCAGAAATCCAATACTTCATATTTGTTTTACAAATATGGGTGTTATTTTTTTCATGATGGTAAAATCAAAGCAGTGTCACAGGTTCACAACAGTGTGTATGTGGAGGGGACTTTTAAGACATTTATACTTAGTTTACGGCTGGGGATGATAGTTCATTCATTGTCTGGCAGTGTTTCCTTTTGATATACCCACAGAGTGCACATACAGGTGGGGGTTATATGGGCTATGGGTTAACCACTAACCAAAGACACCACAGAACAAGCCACGTGACAGGCAGATAAGAAAAGGGTAAGGTTTATAGTTTTAAATCAGAGCTACAGTCTTTTTATACTAAAATTGCGGTCATATGTGCCATATATTCAGAATAATTCTAATAATAGCAATGTACTCTGAACTGTACCGAGGCTACGTCTTGACGTCATCACATTCCGTGCACGCGAGTATCGACTTTTCAATGCGGAAGTTCCCTCCTCGATCTGACTCCGGAGCGATCTAAGAAAGGAAAACAAGCTTCATAATAACCTCGATTGTCGATTTAACAGTCTACTTGTATGGTTAAATCCTGAAACGGAGTGTTTAACAGTTGTTTACCGACGGCGGTGTTACATTCGTTTCGATTACGGGAGCAGTGATCAGCCATTATGGCTACCAACAATAATTTACAGGTAAGTTGAGGACCAACCCAAAGCCTGGCTAAAACGCGTTAATAAGCTAAAAAAAGTTGTTAAAATCTTGTAACAAACCAAAAAAGTATCGTAGTTGTTGACAACCGATATGTCTGACGTTGTTTAGTTGGGTGGTGTTCGGTATAAATGCTTCTAACTGTGTACAAAAGCGTAACGTTTGGAATATTAGCTGCTAATTAGCATGTTAGCTAACATGCATGAATACGGCTGTGAAAGCTAACTTGTGAACAACACAAACCTGTAAAGAAGAACACTACGGCCCACATGTGTTATAAAGACGGACGTTTCCTGCTTTTACAGTAAAGTTATATGCAGTTGTTGCAAATGTCGTATAATGTTAGCGCGAGCGTGACAAACAAGACGCCTTGCTAATGGGATTAACGTTGCTAGCTAGGTAGCTAGCCGGTTGTCTTTAGCCTCTAAAATGGACCTCAACTAAAAGTGGAAGGCAAAACTGTCAATGTTATATTCTGTACAGATTGTGTTACAAGTACAAAGTGTGCTATAGTTACGTATTACAGCTACGGTGACCAAAAGGAAGTGAAAGAAGTGCATTCAAATTTAGGTCCAGGCACTCCTACCTCGGTGTGTGTCATCACACAGGACAGGTGTTTGATTAAATCTGATCTTCACATACAGCCAGTCATGGCAAGTATATATAGAAAGGTTGCCTGTGTCTGACATATCCACATACACTTGTCATTTTGCTTTGATTGGCTTATATGTGTGACAATGCTTCATTAATATCACACAGCTCTGTCTCTGTTTTTCATTAATTCCAGTACCTGCAACTGACATTGCTCTGTCTTTCTTATTTTAGAAAGCCATCGATCTTGCCAGCAAGGCGGCTCAGGAGGATAAAGCTCAGAAATACGATGAGGCTCTGCGTCTTTACCAGGCTGCTGTTCAGTACTTCCTCCATGTGGTGAAATGTAAGGCATAAAACAGCACATTGCCATCAAGTGTATAGCGTCCACAATCTGACACCCACAGCTGATTGCCTCAACAGGAATTACAGTCTGATGATACTCCTTTTTGACATGGCGTAAGAGTGGGCTGACATGTCTTAAAATGACATGAAAGCTATTCTGTACAGTGCCATAGCATTGGTGATAGCAAAAATAATGATAATAGTGTTTAATTATAGATGTGATTTTTTGTTTTGTTTTGTTTTTAAAGCAGTCAGAGTGTACTAACACTGAAATGCTAAGAGGAACAAATACTCAAGCTTGAAGTCATTTTTGTGAAACTTTATTTGTTGTTTTTCCTGACAGATGAAGCCCAGAGTGACAAAGCTAAACAGAGCATCAGGGCGAAATGTGCTGAATACCTGGACAGAGCAGAGAAGTTGAAGGAGTATCTAAAGAAGAAAGAGAGTGCTCCTCCCGCCAAGCCTGTCAAAGAGTCAGGGTCTGATGACAAAGGGTGCGTTTATGGGTGGGGCAGATGTGATGCCATTCAGACTTGGATGGAAAACCATTCAGTGTTTCTTTGATGTATATGAAGCTGTAATTCATTATTTTGTATTTGATATGTAGACAGAATTCTATTATTTATAATTATATGTTTGTGTTTCCAGGAATGAAAGCGATGAAGGTGATGATCCAGAGAAAAAGAAGTTCCAAAATCAACTCTCAGGTTTGTAATATTCCTTTTGAGGACTATTAGGCTTTCAGCAGGCTTTGTGTTTTTTTAATCTGAACTGAGTTGTCAATAATTTGTTGATTTCTTGTTTGTTGTCACACGCAGTCTGTCATAAATCACACATCAGTTAGACTCCTCAGTAATGTAATTTGTTATTTTTTTCCAGGTGCAATTGTTATGGAGAAACCAAACATCAAATGGAGCGATGTTGCTGGTTTAGAGGGAGCCAAGGAGGCGCTGAAAGAAGCTGTTATTCTTCCAATCAAATTTCCCCACCTTTTCACAGGTGTGTATTTTAATGAGTATAAAGGCTCTATCATTACCTTGCTCTCAAAATATAGAAACAAACATCTTTGTTGCATGGACCTGTTGTGTTAGGGTGCAGGTGGTGGTTAATGTGACATGAATATGGAGTAAATTACCTTTTTATTTGACTGACAGGAAAGAGGACTCCATGGAGAGGGATCTTGCTCTTTGGGCCTCCAGGTACAGGAAAGTCATATCTGGCTAAAGCTGTTGCCACAGAGGCAAACAACTCAACCTTCTTTTCCATCTCCTCGTCTGACCTTGTCTCCAAATGGCTGGGAGAGAGTGAAAAGTAAGTCACATTAACAGTAATCCACAAAAGCATGAGTTGCTTATAAAAATACAGTGCAGCCGGCAACATCTTGCCATTTTATTTTTAAAAACCTTCAAATTTGCTTCCCAGGTTGGTGAAGAATCTTTTTACCCTCGCAAGGGAGCACAAGCCTTCGATCATCTTCATTGATGAGATCGACTCACTGTGCGGCTCAAGAAGTGAGAACGAAAGTGAGGCTGCTCGCCGTATAAAGACAGAGTTCCTGGTTCAGATGCAGGGTGAGTCTGATGAGCTAAAACAATTGTTTTGTAATTACTGAATGCAGCGATGAATGAAATTACATTGTTATTGTTAAAGAGTTTCCAAATGTAAGATTTAAGGGACTTTTTTCAGTAGTGTTCTATAGGATAAGTGAACAGCCTTTGGGATCTAAAATGGCAGTTTAAATAGAAAGTGGATGGTTACGCAATGAGTGAAGCAACCCTTTCTGTTTCTTTCTGCATCCTAGATTTGCACTGGAATCATTTTAGTGACACAACTTGGGAGAGACAAATGTATCACCATATAAACTTGAGCTGCGCACAGGAAAAAAAAAATAGCTACAGTGATTGGGTGACTGAAAAGTACTTTTGGGCAACCTTAAAAGACATGTATACTTGGCTCCCTCAATACATAATTCCACTGGCTGGCAAAACTATATGATTTGTTCCAGAAAAAGGAAGTAGGCAGACTGTCACTCTCTCTTTACTTCTGCCGATTCACTTATTTCTAACTGAAACGTGAATAATTTAAATGTTGAATGACCACTGAGTCACATGGGGCAGGAAATTGCTGCTGCCGTGCCATTGAGTCAAACTTTACAGCATGCTCATTCTGGTCACACCCCTAAAGAGATGTCAGAGCAGATATGTTCTTTGACAGGTGAGTGGAAAACAAGCTGCTGTGACATCACGGATTGAGGTGTGGCTGAAGTGCAACGTGTTGCTTTGATGAGAAGCAGTTCTCATAGATTATCCATCCACTATGAGATTTATATTTTGTAAAATGATAAAATAGTGAAAGTTGCTTATCTATAATCAATATTGACCTTTTTGTCAATTGTTATGTGCTACATGTTTAGCAACTTTCAGAGGCTTACTTCTGTATTTGCATACTGTGTCAGCAATAACAGGAACGTGTTGAACAACGGCGATAAGCTAACTAGATCTTGACACATTTCATCTCATGATCAACCAGGTGTGCAGACGACAGCAGAAATTACAGCCAAACTCAATACATGGATTTATTTTTATGATTTTTGTAAATATGTAATTTACTTTGCATGATGTTTGTGGAGGTGTTTTTTTTAATTCAGGAGAAGTGGCACGCCTTTGCAATAAAACGCTGGGAAACCACAAATGGTAGTGTTGCAATAATCTCATGGGCAGCTGCTCTTTAATATAACGTGGTCACAGATCTGTGGAAAGCTGGTGGCTTCAATTATCTGAGTATTCAGGTGTGTACTTATCCTGACTTTTTTGTTATGCAGGTGTGGGTAACGACAATGAGGGAGTCCTTGTACTCGGGGCAACAAACATCCCATGGACCCTAGACTCAGCCATCAGGAGAAGGTAATAGTTATTACTTGGTGAAAGTGATAAGTAACCATGTCGTCATTACCTTTGCTGACTGCGCCAATACTCCTCTCTCAGATTTGAGAAGAGGATCTACATTCCGCTGCCTGAAGAGCACGCCCGCTCCTTCATGTTCAAGCTCCACCTGGGCTCGACACCCAACAGTCTCACTGAGAGTGACTTTGTCGCTCTGGGCAAGAAGACGGATGGATACTCAGGAGCAGATATCAGCATCATTGTCAGAGACGCTCTAATGCAGCCTGTTCGAAAGGTCCAGTCAGCAACCCACTTCAAACGGGTGCGTCTTTTAAAACATCTCTCTCAGTTTTATGCTTGAGTGTAACATATTGCAGTCGACTAATCGTCACTTTTGATTCTTTTCTTATATTGTGATTTAAATAAGGTACGAGGTGCATCACCAACTGACCCCAACACGATTGTAAATGACCTCTTGACTCCTTGCTCACCTGGCGACCCCAACGCAATTGAAATGACATGGATGGATGTCCCTGGGGAGAAGCTATTGGAACCTGTAGTCTGCATGGTAAGGGTATAAAATATTAGATGGTAATAAAATGCAGATTATAGGCCTTTCTTTAATGTTTGTTTTTCTTCTTTTCAGTCTGACATGTTGAGGTCTCAGGCCAACACAAAGCCAACAGTCAATGAACAGGATCTGGAGAAACTGAAAAAATTCACAGAAGACTTTGGACAGGAAGGCTAGGTGGGATTATTGAGCCAAGCCAAACCAAAGCAAAGGAATTGTGATTGTCTCTTTGTACTGTCCTTGTCCCTTTCTCTCTCTCTGTCTCTCTCATCGTAACCATTCACCAGGCTTTGTGGTTTTCACAAGTGGACAAAATTACTGCTCTATTTTGCCAATTTGATGACCACACAGAGGTGAGAGGATCTGGTTTTATTTGATATTAACCACTGTCCAAAGAAGATTAAAGACCTCCCAACTGCAACTGACCTGACAAACGAGTTAATACAACATTGGGAATTAAAGGGTTGTTTGATTTATGCACTAAAAACTAATGGTATTGAGGAGCAGAACCCCCAACAACTTAGGGAAGCTAATGGTAGACATACACAACAGTTATTCCAAATAAGGCTTTTGAAATCAAGATAAATTATTTTAAATTGGGACTGGCGCTTGTGTCCTTATTTTCCAGTCAGAATGCATCTTGCAAAACTAATAAATAACCCTAATGTATTTTCAATTTTATATTAAGAAAAAACAAGCATTTTATAGTGTATAATGTACTTTGTGGAATGTACAAATTTTGGGCTGGGGGAGTGAAGTGAAGACATGAGCGTATAGGATTTGTTGCGGTGAAATATGTCGTCTCATGGTGGTGGATGTTTAAGAGTTCTGAGACAGAGATACTCAGGATGACAGTTGCATAAGGCCCATGGAAACTTTGGATTGTTTATCCAGTTTCCTAACAAAGGACAGTTGTGTTTGTTTACTCATTTGTCATTGAAATTAAACACAGCTATAAGGGTGGATCACCAATGGTGCCAGACCAGCATTATTTTACCAATTTTCAAGGACTCAGTAGCTTTGAGTTGCTTTGTCGCTCCGCTCATGGGTTTTTCACAATGTACTGTACATATTTTTTAATACTATCCACAGGCTTTGCTGGTTATCCTTAATATAAACTGAAAAAGAACATGCCTTATGTTAAGATAAAGTCACCTAATGAATTTTTATAAAACAAGACTGAGTTGAACACTGATGGCTCAGATGGAGGAATCATCTTCTTGTATACCTAACAATATAGGAATGCATTCCCAAGCATGAACTATATGTAGCCATGACGGGCAGTGTGTGCACCATGTGCCTTCTAGAAAAGCTGCAAGCTTCTTTTTTTATTGGTTTATTTCTAAATTGGTCATACTACTTATATATCCAGTGCTTTGTCACTACAACTAAGAAATGTATATTACTTTCACGTGTCATGTAAGCTCTTGTATACAGCTGTGTTACTTTGCTCCTAAGGTGTGCAAACTGTCTCTTTTGAGTTTTGTCGGGGAACATCTCTTTATTTTATTGTAAATGTCTATACATATAGCCAACTCTTGAGCCTTTTTCTTTGTAAAGAGGTCACCCATGCATAAGATTTTCTTTTTTTTTGTTTCCATAATGTAAATAAATAAAAGTTATAGCTACATCGAGAACAGCTGTTTACTTAGTTTTTTGTAACAAATTCCCTTCTTGTTTTTGATAAGGATTTACAATAGAGAGGTAGGTTCATTAATAAACACCAGTCAACATAACTACTTTTATGTAGGTCACACAGGAAGTTTGTTTTTATAGTGTTTTGGCTGAACATTGAGTCAAATGTTTAAAGATCTGTGCCAAAGAAGCATCAAAATAATATTGCCATATCACATTAATAACGCAGGAAATATTAAAATAATTCAAAATAAACTGCGTATGCATATAATGGCCAAATATATAACACATCCAATTGGTGTAAATGAACATCAAAGAAATACTACCAAACACAGAACCTTTAAATTATACTTTTTGCCCACAGTTAATGTCAAAAATATTAAATATTTTTTTGCCAGGTGCAGCTCTTACCTGGTCGAATACATTTTGGGTGAGTGTTTTTAACTCATTACTGAAAATTGTGAACATAGAGACATTAATTAGCGCACCTGATGGCTGGTTGGGTGGGTGCCTAACTGAAACGGATACGACGAATGAGGAAGCGGAGCACTGCATTGTGGGAGTTGTCATTCACGCACACTTGAGCAGCGTTGGTATTACATAGAAGCTGTTGGCTTGAGAACTACAACTACCAAGCACGCCCATCAAGCGTCCGTTTACAGTGCACAGTTCGATTTGTTTTGGTTTATGCAGACTGCGCTTTGTCACGGGGAGCCAAGGTCCACCGCCGTACTTTAACCTGGTCGTTACACATCTTTGACTGACTGCCAAACCACTGCAACTCCTCCTCCGATATCTGTGTATCGCCTCCCCCTTTCCGGGCCGCCGCTGCCTCGTAGCTCCTGTTATCGGACCCCAGAAGCTGGCCTGCTAGTTAGCAAACAAGCTAACGATTGCCAGATTTCACCCATGTCCTCTGAAGAAGCGTTCAGCTCATCGATCACAGATTGGTTTTTCATCAATTCCTGGTGGCTCCTCCTGCCATTCATCATGCTCCTTGTAGTGGCAGCCTTCATCGTTGCCTTCGTGCTACTGTTATACATGATATCGCCTCTTATCAGTCCCAAACCTCTGAAATTGAACGGGGCCCACGTCGTGGTAAGTGCATCGTAGTGCTAACTACTAGTTAGGCTGGTAACGGCAGCTAACGTCCAGTCATCTACGTTACTGTAACGTTAGCTTTACAGCTAGCTTTAGGGTTTAAGCTAGCTGACGTTACGTCTTTAAATGTATGTTATATAACGTTATGCCTGTTAACACCAAAATTACTGTTACCAGTGGTAACTTTTTGACTGAAAAATATTAAAATATAAACGCTAGTCAGCTGTCAGTTTTAAGAAAGACACGCCCACATGACGAGTGAATTAACAGTTAAGCTAACGTTAACTAATACTAACGTCCGAACTTAAGCTAGCTACAAGTTTTCAAAGGTTAACCCAGATAAAACATTTAGTATTGATACTTCTAAATCATTCGTTAACGGCAATAGTCTTTATCTTACCTTTTTAAAAGTTATAATGTTCAGTTTTGTTCAAACAGCTGTTGATAAGTTGTAATTTAACTTAAGTTATTGGTCAGATTCATGGTTATGTCATGGCGGGCTGACCAGTTAAATAATAGAGACTCCTTGTGTACAGTTCAAACAGCAGCCTCACCATGTGTTTGATTCAGCACCTGTCTCTAACAGTTGCAGCAAAAAGAGCATTACAACTGTCTGTTTGTTTTAGCTAAATGTACCTAATAAACTGACAAGAGAGTGTAGCTTGACTCGTGTCATTATGCAGGTTAGGTAACACCATGGTGGAGCTGACTTCCACATGTTTTATTAGCTTTACTAAGATACATTCAGTGGTGGAATAAGTATTCAGATTCTTTACTGAGGTAAAAGTGTTAATATAGTGCTGTGATAATCCACTACAAGTGAAAGTCCTGCATTAAAAACCTTACTTGCGTTAAAGTATGTAAGTAAATAAGTAAGCAAATTGAACTTAAAGTGATTTATGATAATATATAATGCTTTTGGATTAATATTACTGCTGCATAAATGTGTATGTTGCATTTTACTGCTGTAGATGTTTAAGGTTGTGCTAATTTTAACCACCTCATACACTGTTGGGTAGTTTAATCTACAGTAATGTATTATTCTGTATAATCATCATGTTTGTAGCGTCACTGTCTTGTGAGAATCTCCCGTCTCTAAAAAGTCATCTGTTCATGAGATCAGGAAAACTGCTCTTCAGCTTTCTGTCATGCGTTTTCTAGCTTGAGGGTTTTTAAATAGGAGTAGGAGTAGGAGTAGGATTATTTTCTCAGCACACAAAGGAACTCCTTATCCTTATGTTTATCCAAAATTTTAAAAATCAACTAATCTGTAGATGCATTATTTTTACTGGACAAGAAGGGGATGAAAAATTATAATCTGTAAAGTAATTAAAGCTGTCGGACAAATGTAAGTAAGTCAAGTAAAGTACAATCGCCTCAGATTTGTACTTAAGTGCAGTACTTGAGTAATTGTACTTAGTTGCATTCCACCACTGGTTGCATTATGGGTATATGCATTAAATATCCAGCTTACCTGCACCCTCATTGCAGATCAGCCAACCCATACTTAACCTTTGATTCATGATCCTCTTACCTTTTCAATTTTCAGGTGACGGGAGGCTCAAGTGGGATTGGAAAATGCATTGCAATCGAGTGCTACAGGCAAGGAGCATTCATCACGCTGGTGGCACGAGATGAGGTCAGCACAAAACCACATTCAACCAATCATTCATTTCTTTCCAGCCAGATCACAAACTGTTTGTTGTTATAGCCAACTCGTTTGATGTCAAACAAGTTGGAGAAATGTTCCAAAGGTTAATTTGTTCCATTACAGCTGAAGGATAGGCTTCTCATGCATGCTAAATTTACTTTATTTTGTGTTAAACAGATTACCTGCATGTGAGCATTCATGTTTTGTGATTCTTAAGTTTTTATATTAAATACGCACGTTTCCCCTCAGGCTAAATTGCTCCAAGCAAAGAATGAGGTGGAGAAATTTGCCATCAATGACAAACAGGTAAGGGTGTTGCACTTGTTTCAATGAAAGGTGTAATTTTAGGATGTTGATATGACTGTATACGTGTTCATATAGTGCACACCAGCTGATGCAATGTTGAATTACATTGAATAAGTTTAGTGCAATTTTCCCACTCAGGTGGTGCTCTGCATATCTGTGGATGTTTCCAGTGATTACAGCCAGGTGGAAAGTGTGATAAAACAGGTAATGGTAGCCTCTTAGCAGCAGTGGAACATCTCAGATTACTTTAATAATTCAGTGCTGAGGTACTGAAGTAGCTTTTTCCTGTCGTGCAGGCTCAAGAGAAGCTGGGGCCTGTTGATATGTTGGTGAACTGTGCGGGATCATCCATCTCTGGAAAGTTTGAGGATGTGGAAGTGGACCGTTTTAAAGTAGGTACCTAGGAGTGTAGCAAAGACACCACCATGGTCCTGTTTATTTCCAGACGCCAGAAGCAACTCTTAACAGGACTAAGAACAGTTTTGATAAAAGTATGCACTGCTTATATTTTACACCTGACTGATTAAAATGTGTCAGAATAATTTTATGATTTTAACAAGTTTAAATTCATAAAATTATGAATTCAAACTTGATATGAGAGATATGAGAGGACAGATAGTTTTATTTTATTGGTATAGATCAAATATTGCCGTGTAGCTGCCAGACCAATGGAATTTAATGACTTACTTTACATCTATTAAAGGTAAATATTGCACTCAGACCACAGAATTGATCTTTAGAAATGTGTTTTGTGCAATCAGCATTTCCTCAATAGGTAAATGGGAGGTTTGAGTGCTGTCTGACTGTGAAGCAGATTTTGTTATTGTCAAAAAAGATTAAGATGAGGTTAGCAGATAAGTGTATTAGAGACATTTTTTGACAGTATTCAGGTTGTTGAATCTGTAGCTACATTTATTCAGCGCCACACTGTCAACAACCTTGTTAAAAGATGTGTGAACTTCGACCTTGCTGCCAACAGAAACTGATGGAAGTGAACTACCTGGGCAGCGTTTACCCGACACGGGCCGTCATAACCACCATGAAGGAGCGAAGAATGGGCCGCATTATGTTTGTGTCCTCCCAAGCGGGCCAGATTGGCCTGTTTGGGTACACTGCCTACTCCCCGTCCAAGTTTGCCCTGCGTGGCTTAGCGGAGTCTCTGCAGATGGAGGTGAGTGCTTTGGACTCTTTTGCTTGAATAACCTTTTGCACAGATTTCCACCGTACGCCAAGCAAACACGCTGCATTTGCAAATCAGCTTCACGATTCATCTAGTTGAAATAATTTAGCTCATTATGCTTTTCCACTGCTTTGCTGCTGAGGGGTGATGAGCTGCTGGTGTTAATGTTATAACAAGGATTCCAAATGTATCACAAGGGGGCATTTATAGTTCATTTCCTGTTTGTATAAAATGTTGATTGCTGCAAATGGTAGGACGCAATGCTCAGTGAGTGGTGCTGTTCTTCCTCTCCAGATAAAGCCATACAACATCTATGTGACTGTGGCCTATCCCCCTGACACTGACACTCCAGGACTGGCTGAGGAAAACAAGACAAAGGTAAACACCTCTTTAACACAGTAAATAGTAACACGACTTAACAATACCCTCCCTTATTTATTTTGTTCTGTTCTCTCATAGCCTCTGGAGACCAAATTAATCTCTGAAACCTCTGGAGTTTGTCAGCCAGAACAGGTGGCCAAGATCATTGTCCGGGATGCAGTGGTAAGAAATTCCCTTCACTTGCCACTAAACCACCGTGCTTCTTATTTAGTTTTAAACATTAAGTGGACGGATAATCTGTTGTTAATCAACCTGCCTGTTTTTCCTTTGCTCTCGTAGCAGGGGAACTTCAACAGCTCTGTGGGACCCGATGGTTACATGCTGTCAGCCCTCACCTGTGGAATGTCACCTGTTACCTCCATCACAGAAGGTCTTCAGCAGGTAA